GCCTCATAAAAAAAATAATAAAAATACAACCGTAAATTTGATGAGCACTGAGGTATGTGTATACAAAATTGAGCCGCAGCAAACGTGTTAACCATTTATATAAATATTGATTTATATTTATATCATTAAGTTTGTATTTCTTATAGAAAAATAACATATATTTATGTCCATTGGTCATAGTTTTTCAATGTTTAGTGATTGAACTTTAATGTATACTAAAAATATACATAAAATGAAATATGGATTATTTAACGACTTCTTCCTAATCATGCAATACAAAAGATAAATCAAAAATTTATTGTTTTATTTCTTTAAAATTAATTTAATTTATACCTGAGTTATTATGAAAATAAGTCAGCCATTTATTTATTTGAGCATATTTAAATTGTTGGTGTTATTGGATACTTAAATATTTTGTATTTATAAAGTTTACTTAGTTAATTGATAAAAATAACAATAGTTTATATATTAAATCATAAAATGTACCTATCTTTTATTAAGATAGTATAATAAATATTATGGGAAAATTAATGTAATAATTTTGATACAAAAACCTTTAACGTTGAACATTATTATAAGTATGTAAAACAAATATTATACAACAAACCCAACACTAACCACATTTTACCTATGAGCATAAAAATTAAAGAAGTAATAATTATTATTTACTTTTTATAACCTGAGTAATTAGCAAAGCATCATGATTTTTGCTTTCTCAACCAGATATTATCACTAAATAGTAAACAATATTTTGATTTTACTATTATATTTTAATATCTTATAATACTTAAAAAAAATTACATTTGTAGTGAATGTTCAAGATTTTTAATACAGCTAAGCGATTAAATATAAATTTTAACAATTTAATTATTTGATATTAATGTTTAATTTGATAAAAATATAAAATATAGTAAAAAGAATGAATTCTATAAATTATATGTCGAAGTTAAGTGAAAATTGTCCAGATAATGTCATGTACAATCTAATAAAATATTTGACATATTTTAATAGTTGTTTAAAAATTAAAAAAAAAAATTTAATTTATGATTAATGTTAACAGACTGTATGGCCAAAATATTGCTGTAGTAGCTAATGAAGTTGGTCGCAAACCACCAACATTTTTGGATGCATCTAAAGTGGCTAATGAACTGATACAGTTGGATTTCAACATTGGAAAAATTGTTTACAACCGATTCAAGTATTTTTATTTTTGAATTATTACTTATATTATTGGTGTTGATAGAAAATTATATTTTGATTTTTAATCATTTGTTTAAAGGACTGTTGTGTCTTATCAAACTGAAGAAGTACCATTGTTGAGCGCTAAAACTTTGTTAGCTGCACCAAAGTTACAGTTATATGACAGTATTGATCAAGGTGTTATGGAATCTTACCAAGAATTTACAGTTGCTGCTTTATTATATTACACAATGAAAGAGTCTGCTTGCAGTGAGCAATCATCAAGGATGACAGCTATGGATAATGCTAGCAAGAACGCAGGTAATTTAAATTCTATTATTATAGTATTATTTAATATGATTTTTTTTTTCAATTTTCAAAAATACTTATCATTTATGCATTTTATTTAGCTGAAATGATTGGCAAGCTGACTTTGACATTCAATCGTACAAGACAGGCTGTGATCACCAGAGAGTTGATTGAAATCATTTCTGGAGCAGCAGCATTAGAATAATTGTGTTTTATAAATATCATAATGTTATAGAGTTGGAGAACAACAATAAAAGAAATGGAATTCCATACATTTGAAAATAAAAATAATAATTTAAACAATAAAATCAGTGGTATTTATCGATTAGAAATATATGTGTAAATTATTTTTATGACCATTAATAATTATACAAAATATATGTCAGTATTAAAAGCTTTATATTCTAAAGATTATTATCTCTAAGTGTGTTTAGTAAAGTACAATATAAAATAAAATATAAATAGCAAGTATTTTAAACATTTAATCATATAATTTTGTAGGAATATGCTCAACAGTGAAAATTAATTATTTTTCACATTGATTACTGATTGCTCTGCAGTCTGTACAGTTTATTCAATATGTTTAAATGACAAATTGTTTTCCGTTGAACAATAAAAAACCACAACTTGGTAAAAAATAATATTATCAATGTTCATCAACATCTTGTTAAATAAAGTATCTTAAAATAATAACTATTATAATTATAAATAATGTTTTAGACAAATCATAAATATTGTTATGAAACTTGAATAATTTTTAATATTGTTAAACTTTTAAGCTGATCTTATTTATGTAACTTTTAAATATTACTAGTATTATACATGAGTAAAAAAAAAAAAAGTAATCTAAAACATACATTATAAATCACTTTAAAAAGATTATGTTGAATTGGCATCAGTGTTGTAAATAGGTACTTATTTTATGTTGAAATTGAACTAGTTATCTGTAAGAAGTTTTAATTTTAAATAATTCAATGAATTTTTAGAAATACGTATCCATTTATGCTATTTCAATACATTTTATTTGGACATATTATGAGTTATAAACATTGCCAATAATGTATTTTACTTTAAATAAAATAATACATTTTCATACATTTTTATAAAATATCAACTGGAATATTTTATTAAAAAAATAATTTATAACTTGTTAAATATTACATAAAATATAATTACAGTAGAACCCCTTTCATCCACCCTCGGCTGGTCCGCCGCTCCGGTTGATACGGCCATAGTATTATTGATATGAATACTATGTAATTTAAAAATACAATTTGGATTTTCTACTTTATAGAAGATATATAAAATTAATTGCTAGTAAGTTATGTAAAACATAATACATTTCTGATATAATCTTGTATGTAATATGTAAATAAAAAAATGTTCTGTATATTCTAATAATCTGACCTTTATCGTGTTCCGACCACACCCCCAGTCTCGAAAGTGACAGATTAGAGAGGTTCTACTGTATACATAAAAATAAATAATATTGTGCATGAAAACCTTAAAAAATAAGAAGTTATTTTTATTCAGAAATGTAATTTTAAAGTGCATATAATTTATTTTAAATATTGATGTGAAATTTAAGTACTTAATTTCTTTATTGAAGGTGAAAATATGACGCTAGATAAATGATAATTAATACTAATAATTTTGAAACAGTTATAAATGTTAAGTATATAATTTAATTTATGCTAATGAGTCAGTTATAGATTGATAAAAAAATTATACAATTTATGATTTTTTTCTAATATTTATGGCCTTTTCTGAGTAAATAATTTTAATAATCTTTACTTACATTAGTTATATTATAATTTTGTAGTAGGTACAAAGAAATATTTTAATACAAGACACTAGTCTTGAAAAGTATTAAATTTGTGGTATTTTATTCATTGTTATTTTAAAATGACTACAATTCTTTACTTTTATAATCTGAATCATTTATCTCCACCACATAATTATTTTGAATTATGCTTTTGATTATTAAATGTTCATTCATATTTTCTGTTAAAAACATTGTGATAGTTTGAAAATATTAATTCTCAATTTTTATTAATTGGCTTATTAATTTTTATAAGATTTAAATCGTAATTGTTTGATTGAATTATGATTGTTTAGTAAAAAAAAAAAAATAGTATGAGAAAACATATTCTCTACTTTTAAATCTTAATTGTATAATTTATAATAGAAGTTTAAATTTATTCTTAATCTTAATCCCCATTAGAAAATAAGTGATTTTTCTTAAAAAACTAAAAACTGTATAAGTTTTATATTATCAAAATAAGTACCTAAATTAAGCAAATACACTGAAATTAAAACAAACTTTTTTCTGAACACTGAAAGGGAAATATCTGTATTTAACTTGAAAACTTGGTAAGATGTTACCAAATCTATACCAAACTTTAACTATATTATATGTATTATAATATCTGCAAGTACCTATTTCAAATAGCTTAAATATTATATTTCATAGAAATAACCAATATTGACGTGTAAAAAATGTAAAAATAAGAATTAAGAAGCAAAATAAAAATAATCTTTCCCAACTATAGTTTTATACTTGCTTTTAAATACCTAGTGTATAATATTGTAATTAAATTATGTTTACATCAGTTATCTACAACACCTAAATGTTTAAATCTAGCCTGTATGTTTTTTACTTTATTTTAATGTTTTTAAGTGTTGAGTGGTTGCTGGCTATAACTACGGGTACTATACCACGACTGGCTGGTTTAATTTAATTTTCAGCATTACAATTTTCATCTTTACATCTGTTGCAATACACAATAATAATACAGGTAAACAAATCATTAGAAAAATATCCACTGTTAATACTCTTAATATTTGTGAATAATGAATAAGTGTACAAACAATTTATTTAATATAATGTATTACTAGCACGGGACATTGGCGTACTGAAGGGGTTAGGCCGATTAGGGGGGGGTTCGACTCACTATGGATACTCGACAAATATATAATATGTAATACGTATTAACACTATTCACTATTAACTATTTACAAATATAAAATTATAATTATTGTATTTCCCGATTTTAGAGTTTTTTTTTCATACTTGTAGCAATTAATTTATTGATTAGGTATCATTTTCTCCTTGTCAGTCTGTATTATTTGATATTGCCATATTGATGATAGGTGATAGTAACTGTTATCATTCTAAGACCGTGATAACTACTTGGATCATAATGTACAATACAATGGATAGAGCCATGGCCCACGAATTACCCATAATGTCGATGATGTAGTGGATGTACATGTCACTATGTCAGTATGTCACTACTCACTATGTCAGCGACGACTGACGAGTCGCCACTCTCCAGTTATGTGGCCTTTACTGTGTATGCCCTAGCTACTAACTGCATATTTATTCGTATTTCATGATGAATGATTATTAATCTATTTTACTTTAATAAATTATGCAGATTTCAACTAGTTATCTATTCGATGAATTTATCTTTGAATAAATTGATTAATATATTTATTATTAATTTCTACTATTAAGTATTAAAATTAAATTGTCAATAGGTCCGCATAGATTTTAATAGGGATTTGTACATGAGTAGTTTAATGTTTGAGTTAGCGTTTATTGTTCATAAGGAGTGTCTTGAGCATGCACAGCTTAGTATTTAACTTAAAGTAGTTTTAATATGATGTGCCCAGGTCAGACTGCTGTCGAGTGTTAGTCCGAGATGTTTAACCGTAGGCGATGAAGGGACTTGGACATCATAAACAGTTACAGAACTGGACATTGTGCTTGTTTAAGAGTGAAGCCTGTATGGACTGATTTGGCTTGATAGATTTATGACTTACGAGTGTAAAGAGATGTTTTTATTTTTGTATAGAAAATTCAAACAAAATACACATGAACTAGTACTCTTTTTTGGTGCCATTATCCCAAAAATAATTTTATAAAAAAAAATAAAACAGTTACAATAACTAATGTCAATCCAAAGTTGTTGTTATTAAGTTGGAAAATTGGAATTCGAAGCTTAAAAACAAATGATCATATTATCACAGAATCAAAGGTGAGCATTACCTAACTAGTAAGTTTATTTTTTAATCAAGTTATGAACTTAAAGAGTTTAATTGACAGCTAAAATAACTTAGCTTTTTGTAGTTAATATTTGAAATTTTTTTATTAAAATTATAAGTTATTAATTGTATTGTTTTAAATTTTAATGTTATATGACCTCCAATTACTATATCTTATAATGTATAAGGATATGTACACTATGATAAAAGTTCAATAAAATTGTTTTTTATAATTTAGTAAATTATAAAGACATAGTCAATCATGTGATTTACATACTAATTAAAAAAGAAATTAACTTTTTTTAAACTAAGTTTAGTTAATATTTTTTTCTATTTTAAATTTTAACTTATTGAGTTAAATTTATAATTGTTGACTTCTAACTTATCGATCTTGTGTTCTTTTAACTTAATTTGAGTTAACTATTTTCATTAACTTTAACACCTTTATACAAAATTATTCTGTGATATTATATTCATATTTATCATATCATTGGGAAAAATGTGTGACTTGTCGCATGCACATACACAGTAAAAGCTATATAATTGGCAACTTGTCGCTAACATGTACATCAAAATATTGACCTATAGCTCCATCCATTGTATATGGTCTAAGGGTAACTATCTAGTAACTACTACCTACATTCTACAATCTCAAATCACAAAATGTGACTTTTAAGTTATCAATTTATCATATAATATCGTATCACAGATTATTTTTATTGATTATAAAAATGAAACTATTAGTTTCAACATTGATGCTTGATTTATTTCCAACTATGTAATATCAATAATAAAAATATTGACATATTTCAGTAAGTTACGTAACACATTAAAAATTAATATTTAATAAAAATATATAAAAATTAAACTAGTTATAAAAATTATGTGGGATTATGGAAATTATATTGGAATATGATTATATTTTAAAATATGCTTGGTAAATGTCAATATATAATTTATTATACTTACTACTTATTAAGTACTTAAGGTACTTCTAATCACAATATATATACATTATGAAAAGTAAATAAAAAAGCTTCAATCAAAATTATTTTTTGAAAGAATTAATAGAGAAAAATATATCTAAATTTTAAACTAAGTTATGACTCGAAAAATCTAAACATTTTTGGAAAAATACCTACCTAGGTAAATACTATACTAATTTAAAATGGAAGAATAACAATTAATTAATAAATAATCATTATGAATAAATTTAATATTGTATGTATTTATAACAAAATATTGACAAACTTATCAATTTTTTTGATAAATAAATAAAAAATAAATCAATAGTTAAATATTTAAATTTATTTATATCAAAAAAATTAATGACAGTCTTACTTAATATTTCAATACATTTTATGTTTAAAAATACAGAAAATAAATAATATTTAAATCTATACACTTTGTTTTAGAAACAATTGCAAAATATAAAATTCATTATTTTTTAAGTAGAACTCTATTTAGTTAAAACAAAAATAAATATTTTGTAATATCGATACATAGTTCAATACAACAATATCATAGCGTTTAATCTTTTAATAACATATTATTTTTATTAAAATAACATAATAGAAAGAAAATATGTATATTTAATTTAATATAATTTATATAGGTTTTCTTTTTATATTTTAGTTACTAATTTCAATATGATTTAGTTTAATTAATCAATAAAAATATAATATTAATAAATCAATATTATACATACAATCAATTCAGAAAAAATTCTCATTTTATCAACAAGAATTAATAAAATGGATATCTACAATTTCCACAAAAATATTCATACATTGTTAATAAGTTAAGTAATTTGATGTGCGACAATTGTAATTAGAGTATCAACATAATTTTTCTCATGTTAATATATTTTTTAATGTAATTGTTATTATATAAACATGAAATTTATTCAACAGCCTGTTTTTGCGACCTAGCATGTCTTACAAATTAATCCTATACAGTAAGTTATTTTTTCTTAAAAAACATTGGAAATTTATTTTAACTATTCCGAGTTACAGAAACATTAATTTAATGGTTCAATAAAATTTAATGGACTAATTGAAATCACTTAATTATGTTTAATAGATTATTAGCTCACTATTAATTAATTAAATGTTTAGCGATTGTTCATGCAAATTGGCACGTGTAGTAATTTCTTTAATAAAAATTTTATATTCAACATAATTGATGTTAAAATACAATTTATGACACTTATCACAGTAGATGTAAATAATTCAAATTGGTTACATAGTAAAACTTAATACTTAATAAGTGATTATTGAAAAAATACAGATCAGGTTTATTGTGATCTATCATCAAATATATACCAGTAACAACATTTAATAGGATTCTTTTAAGGAAAATTTATTGACATAATATGAAAACAATTATTAAAATATAATATAATTGATATTTAATTTGCCAATACTTCTATTTCTAATTTTTAATGATTAAAAAAAATAATCACATTTTGCTCAAACATACGTTTCTATGATGTAGTTATATCAATTATGTTTTATATTTGTTTTACCAACTTGTTAATTTTAAAATATACATTTTTATCAGTACCGGATAGGCGAGTTATTGCTTACATAGTTATAAGATTTCTAACATTTGATTGCAGTTACAAATACTGTACAATTTAATAATTCAATTCAATTATATTTTCTATTTATATTTGTGCTTATCTATCATTATCATAAAAAAACAAAATCACAGTCAAACAAATATAACCAGCCCACATTACATAATGTAGAATTTTAAACAAAATAAAAATTTAAATTATAATTTAGTAATAATTAACAATAAATATCACCATGTAAAGCGATCCAATCGACCCGTATTGTCCATGGTTGAAATGAAAGGACTATACAAAAATACCCACATAATAATAAAATTAAAAACTTGGTATGCTATAAATTCAATAAATGCTGCTTTAAAAGTATAAAAATGTGTAAAATATATATTACTATGTAACCTATACATGAGATAAGGTACTACAAAATAACGAGGCTCCAACAAAAACTGAGCACAAAGAATAAGGGGTGTTACTATCCAATATGCCAATCTATAAGCAATTGATGATTGCATCAACGTTCTATCCACTAACCATAGACCATATGCATAAAATGGTACTGGTAAATATCTTAAAAAGACTGGTTTACTAGGACTAAACAACAGTCGCCAAACATAAAATGTATAATGCCTATTGTCAGCCAACAAATATGGGTGAGCTATAGTATTAAAATACACTAATCCAGATATTATTATTAATAAGATTAGAACAAATATTTTAGATGTATTATTGTGAATTTCATTAAAAGCTTTAACTAAATTAAAATGTTTGTTAACAGAATTAGAAATCTTTCTTTGATAATAAGTTTGAGACAATAACCACGGTAATGAAAATGCTAATACAAATATCACAAAGTAGCACAATTGCATTGGGTGAAAACGAGGAATATGTGCATGTCGATCACCAACAACTATGTCACCATTATTTAACAAAACCACAAATGAAATGAAAGATACAATAACTATGATGCTTGGGCTGGTGAGGCGTAAACATTTCTGAAAAAATTCTATTAACTTCTTGGATTTATTCTTTTTTTTAATTGAACAGCAATAGTACAATTCAGCAATAGAAGTCTGTAAAAAAAAAAAGATTAAATATAAAATTTATATTTTATTATTGATTGCATTATTGTAATACTTACTTGGATGTATGAAAATATAGAAACACTATTTTTTATTGTAGGAAAACATTGTTCGGCGCAGTGACACACATCTATAATGGATGCAAATACTAACCATGCAATGTTTGTCTGACGACATAGAACAGAAAAACCGCCAAATATAATTTTAACCAAGGAATGAGTTTCATTACTCAAATGACTGGAGTACCATAAGAAAACAGATGCTGTAGCCCATGCATCTGTATAGTAAAGCATTGAATATGGTGCATAAATAACAGGGAATGTCGCTACATTCAGTGCCAAGAATATACAAGTCCATTTAGTAATCTTTGTTTTCTTATTTTCATCCTGTAATTAAGAATTAGAATATGTATAAGTAATATGTATGTTATTCTCATGTTTCAAAAAAAAGTGCACATATTTAACTAATTTATGAAAATAATTACGTATTTTCTGACACCTTGTACATTTTGAAAATTATCAACTAAAATTGGTTAAATAATAACTTAAAAAGGTGGATCCAAGATTTTAGTAATATTTATAATAATTAAAATGTACAAACTAACCGGAAAAAGAAGTAGCTGACAACGATAATATGCATAATATAAGCATGCTGGAGCTCCTACTGCATTTACAGCACGCAATGCAACCAAAGAACATGGATCATTAACTCGAAGATCATCATTATCCAATACACCAAATAATGACAATATTGTGTCATATATCTTTATAAAAGGTACTAACACAATACTTGACAACAAATAAAGTCCAGGTAGTGTAGTTATTTTTGGATCCCACTGAAAACAAAACAGTAGTTTATAATGATATTATTTAGATATACATGGTTTTATAAATTATTAAACCAATGAAATAATGCACATAATAGTATAGTACTAATCAATAAATCATTTTTTAATTTATGAATAAGCCTATTTTTTAATGGGTTACCATTAAAGTTACTTTTATTATCTTTCAACCTATATGTTCACACTCTTATCTTAAAAATTAAATGTTTCTTTTAAGCTGTATTTTGAAAACTGTTTTAATGCTTTGCTACAGTAATGTTCTTTATTTATTTATGGTGATAACTGATAATAATTATTATTTATCATTCTTATTAATGATTTGACTAAAAAAAATAGGTATATTAATGAGGGTATACATTATACGTTTTTTGTCATTGAAATTTAATATTGATACTAACAATTTTTTTTTGACATATTACTATAATACTGTTAAATATATAATACATACAGTCAACAAAATTTTTTTCATAACTTGTTAGTAATATAAAAATTCAGATTTTTTTAAGTGGTTAAAACTTTAAGAATGTGTAAGTATTTAATATTTATCCCACCAAAATATAGATCATAATTATATATATATATTTATAGGTATATTTATTAAATCTGTTTGTATACCTATCATATATAAATGTATAGGTTGTTTCTATTAGATATAATTTTTCAACCATACAGAATATCTTGTCAAACTTATAATACATACATTTGAGGTAATAAAAATATTATGATTAAAATTTTTTGGTTAGACACTTCTCTTTAATTGTTAAATTCAATATTTTTTTTTTTTTTTTTTTATTGTAGTTTCAATGTTCTAATTTTAAAAGTGAAGGAAACAAAAATGAAAACATCAAGTAAATAACTAAGAAATATAATATTATGATTATATTAAAGATTGAAAAATGAATAGTAATAATATCTGAAGATAACTTTATTAAATACTCATTATCAATGAATGATTATTTTAGATTCATGTTGATACATATATATATTTATATATATATATTGGATATAAAGGTAGAAATTGTATATCTGGTATATCTGTATAGATATGAATTAAATTTGAAATAAAAATATATAAAAATAAAGAATAAAGAATGATATTTGAAAATGTATATGCAAATCTAGTGCACTTACTTATGTGTTAAATTTGGTTTCAATTATAAATAATAATAATATTATAATCTACGGTAAAAAATTAATTCTGAGCTAACATTCAAATTATTTGGAAACTAAGGTTACTTAACAATTATTTTAATTATAATATTACATTTTTAACAAATGTTATATTTTGCCCCCTGAATATTTTAAAAAATACAAAACGTTTTTAATTTTTACCTCTCAAAAGTACAAATTAGATCTAATTAACTATCAGAAAGCCTCCACATAGGTCAATAATCATATTATTTTTTTCATTAGAAAAAGACCCACAAATAAAAAATGAAGACCATTGAAAAATCAATATATTCTCGCTTGTTTAGAAATTTAAAAGGTTTAGTAGTTATCCTATAAGTATTTGCATGTTGACAAATTGAATATGAAAATGATTAAAAAGTTATTATGTTCATAAATAAATTATTATTATTATTGCAACAAGATACCTAGGTAATTTTAACTATTACCTAATCAGTATCAGTGATAAAATTAATTTAAATAAGTAGTTTATTTAACAATTGAATGTCAGCATATTGACTGGTTTTCAAATTTTTGTAATACTGATAATATTGTGAAATGGCTACTTAATATTATATTCATAGAAATTTTAAATGTAAATGAACAGTGAATTTAATTTTAATCTTACTGTGAAAACATTATTACCTACTAGAATTGAGTATGTGTTGTATAATCCAACTACTAATGCTCCAATTTATTTATTTTGCATAAACATATGTTGGTATAAAACACAATAATTAGTGAACAAATCGACAGTATTTTTAAACAGCCCAACCCTATCTAATACGGGTTCCAAAATGACCATTTTAACAATACTTTTTCTAAACATCAGAAACAAATAAACTACCAACTTTATGAAATTCTCCTCGGCAATAGTGTTGTGCTTGAGGCACGTGGAATTCTTCGTCTATATAATACTCATCGGGACCGAACAATGGTTGCACGATGTACTGTAACAAATACCAGGTGACGGTGGACAGTACAACGGCGGGCAGGATCGAAGCATTTAATCCATCGATCGTTGTAGAGTACTGCACCAGTGGTTTTTGTCCACGTCGAGCAGCCTTCGATGCGGCCATCAAATTTATGTGCGGATCCTACAAACCGTGTAAGCAATCGTCGATCGCGATGTCGACAACATAATCAACAGTCTCCGTACGTAGAGTTAATCGCGTTGTATGAGTAGCTACTAGTAGACCACTTTATAATATAATATAAATACTGTGAATTACTTTAAAACGACAACGTAAAGATTTTGAATGTTGAACGTGTCTTGACGTTAACGTGATTACGAACGATAACGAACTGATAATATTATTTACTATTTAGATTGGTTGCAAACTTGCTCTTTCGACCGGGACTGTACCACTGCTACGAATATCAATTGTTTCTACCTAGTTCGATATTTCATTATTATTATAAAGGTACCTACTATAATAATACTAGGTACTATTATATTTCTCGATAGCTTAAAATTACAATAACTGTAGAATCTTTTGACTTTTATTCATTGTTTTATTTTTTATTTTATTTTATTTTACTTGCAGTAGACGATTTTTGAAAATATTTTAACTATTTTACAGTAGTTTTTACTAGGTACTCTATGTCTCTACAATAAAAAAGAAAGTCAATAACTTTTTGTAAATAAAATTTGTAATTACATTAACTTTTTGAATTCAAAAATTTCTTAATTTTCCTTGTATACCAGTATACAGCTATACGCCTGTATCAATTCAACTATAATATTATTTATAATACCTATTATATTAAAGTTTTCGAAGAAAAGAATTTTTCCGTCTTTTAACACAATTCATTCGTTTCTAAATGGAGAACAGGTACTCCAATTTTTATTAGCTATTTATTAATCAAAAATATGGCATATTCACATGCAATAATACACCTTTTTAATTGTTCGAGATATTTTTACACGTACAATTAAATTATTTAAGTAGGTAGTAAAAAAATATAATACAACTATTTATCAGGAGACAGGAATAGACATCAATTATACACATGAAGATTTTAAAAACAATATTTTGTGCAGTTTAATAAAAAATATATAACTTAATTTAAACCTAATAGGTACTTGACAAATTAAACTATAACAATTGTTTATTATGTTTTATTTAGTTTAAGTATTAAAGCATAATAACATTTTAATAATATTATGTACACAAATTCATCACTATGAGTCTATGAATAAACAAATGTAGATCGTTAAATGTTTAATTAAAAATGTATGTAGCATCAAGAAAATTTGTATTACGTTTTTCATTTGGCGTTTTATGTCTATTCGGAATACATAACCTGCGCAGTTACATGTTAAAGTACTCTCACTGCGAGTCCAACTATTCACATACGAAAAGAAAAGATTTAGAGGTAAACAAAATAAAACACATATATTATAATTCATAATATAATAGCTTGGCATACCTTATTAAGCGTAGCCAGGCTTGAAATGTGCAACAGATAGAACTGATATAGGTGTGATTAAATCTATATTATTTGATAAAATATTGAATTGAAAAATGTATTTATTTTTATTATTTTTTTTTTTTATAAGTATTTTGTGTATTTAATAGCTTTAAGAAAAAGTTTTAAAAAGTTTTATTTATTTTTATCAAAATTCCTTTTAAAAATGGGGTAAAAACAAACTCCAAACCAATTTTTTGATTTACCGATTATTAATACTTTACATAATATTTTCTGACATTCAACAGAAATATTTGTGAATATAAAAATACAAAAATTCCTAACTTTTAAAGTAACGCATAGGTAGATAAAAACATTAAAAGGAAATATAACGTATAAATCTATAATAATAATATATACTACATTATAAAACAAACTAAAAAGTAATATTATCCATTTCTATTATTGGATCACATGGATGAGAATTTTTTTGATTTAGGAACTGGAAGAAATTTTTTGAGTAAGTATCAATAAAACATGCCTAACAATATTTTGAAAAATTATAATAAAAGATTAATGAAGCTGACATTTAAAAAATTAGAAGGTCAATGTTTTTTTTTATAATTAAAATATTATAAAATATTTTTTGATTCAACATTTTTAAATACTTTCCAGAACTGAATAAAGGTGAAGTAAAAAAACAAACATTTATAGAATTACAAGTATTAAACAAATAATTGCGTGAATAATAATCGTATTGGTTTTAATGAATCGTTTTTATTTAATTTTTAGTTGCAACGTCTTGAAGACGGTTGTCTAACGAACTTGGCACTAACACTCGAAGTTACAAATGCGTGTGAACTGTTTAAGATTTTAGACTATCTAGAAATTACAAACCACAGTAGAGAAGCTACAATCACGATTGAAAAAAAAAGAATAATTGTGATTAAACGAAAAGTTTAAAGCGTTGGAGGATTATAGTTTTTACGCATTTAATTAGTAGGTATATGGCAAAATATTTTTAATTAAAAATATCTTTTATAATTTAATATTTTCTAGAACTGTACAGAGACGAAGAAGAAAAAAGCATTAAGAAAACTACAAGACGTATTAAACGACTACGGGAAAATAACGACGATACCGACATATATAAAAAAAATCTAAGACTGGTAATACTTCATGTGGAGAAGATGCTTTTAGAAGATTATCACATAGGTACCTAGGTACCTAATAAACAATTACTTCAAATGTCAATTGCAACGAATACGACGATTCTACATAGTGTTAGGTGCGTTACATTACTGTCTACTACCACGATTATATCATAATTTCATTACTACGACATCAGTTAATTATATCACTATTCTGATACTTGTAATTTACACAACTATGGCTATGAACTTAATAATTTTATTGACATTTAGTCTCCTCTAACTGTCTTATTAACTTGTTTCGAGTAACTAAATTCTGTAAAAAAAATTAAAAAGGTTAAGTAGGTATCCACTAATGTGATATACCTTTTTTACTGTTTGTTTTAGACGTGTACAACGTAGATAAATGCGTTGAGTCCGACAAGTCTGTGATTTGTATTTTAACCATGCTGTTCCGCGGCACTGCGTTGCGTTCGATGCGGCGAAATACAAGTTGTGTTGTTTTTCGCCGGACGCAACACATTAAATTTAGTATTTACGTTGGACACGGTGTTAGAATGCAATTGTTGATGTAATCTGAAGATTGAATGGGCCAAAAATTTCAACAATTTTATTCAATAATTGGACAAAACAATAAAACATTACAGAAACACTAGAATTTTGCGTAAAATTAAATTAAATAAAGAAATGATTTTTGTGCTACATTCTTACCATTTTTATTGATTATAATTTTTAAAATATTTTGATTATTTCTGAACTGATTAGGTAAATTTAAATTTTCTAAATTCTTTTAGGATTTTGGACTGTTGATCGAGGAATTTGAAAATTTAATACTTCACTTTAGTTCTGTAACTTGTTATTGTTGCAAATTTATTTATAAATATTAAAAATATTTAGGAACGGGTTTTTATAATTTTATTATAACTCATAAGCATTTGAATTTTGATATAATTGGATAATTCGACATAGAATAACAATTTCCATAGTTGGTTATAGGTAATTCAAAATAAAATGCGGGTATCTGATAAGTTTTAACTAAATTACTTATTTTAATATAGGTATTATACGTCTATACACAATGAAGTTTTCAAAAAATTTAAAGTAATCTAAGCTCAACCGCATTAGTAGTAGTAAAATAAATTACAGTAGAACTCCGATTATTCAAACGCCAATCAAATATCAATCGTACGCCTGATTAACCGGGTGAAAAAAAAATTGGTCTTTTAATAACTCGTAATCGTATTTTGTCGCTCTTCATAGTTCATAATCGTAATCGTAGATTAGATAATGAGTAGGTAATAGGTATTATTTTTAGAAAGATAGTAGTTTAATCGCTGTACAGTTTAGTCCGTCAATCGTCATAACGAGTGAATTTTAGCGTTACAAATTACAATATTGTCTAATAGAAAACGTGTAGGTAGTGCTTACTATGCAGTGGCGTAACTTCAAAATTTGAGCTTGGGAACGAAATTTTCAATGAGCCCTCTTCATCCAGGTATGTATACAAAGAAAATCTTAGGGGGTTTATTTACCATACTAATATTATTTAAAAAATGTATTTTTGATTATTGCATATTTTATTAAATACACGTTTTATCATTTTATAATTATTTACCTAATTAATAATAAATATTTTTTATTAATTCAATACATAAGAGTATAAGACTCAAAACTTTTTTTTGGACTTCTTGTTTGCTAAGTAGAAATAATATCTAATGTATTAATTTTTTTTTGCAATTTTCTTTTTTATTAATATTATAGCTAAACTCGACTAACAAATTTAGAACACACCGTAATTCAAGAATAGTCTTTAATTATTTTAAGTTTTTCAAAACTTCTTTTTGCACTTATCACCATTATTGGTATTGTGAAAAAAAGAAAACAAGTTGTACATAAATCTAGAAAATTTGGCGCTGTTAAACAATTGTATCCAATTATAAATTTTTCCAAGTCACGTACAGAACCTAACCATTTTGACATTAATTAGTTCAGTTTTACTGTTCTATGATAGCTATATAAATATGTTAAAACATAGTTGAAAATATAGAATTTTCCACTTAAAACTGTTCTCAACAGTAATGAGTTATCATTGAATTCTATTTTAACACATAATTTAATTAATGTATAACAAAATATTGATCTATATACATTTTAGTAACATTACCTAATATTTTAAGTTTTAAATGATCTCGTAAGATACATATTTAATTAATAGGAAAGCAATTTGATAATTGAACTATAATTAAGAAAATACCAAAGCAACAAATCCCTTTCAATGTATATTAATTTATATGAATTACAAATAAGACATACTTTATAGAAAACTATGTTGGTGATATTTTAAAATCATGATGTATAAAAAATCTTTTTATAATAATAAGTAATAAAAATAAACAATACTTCAAGGTATATAATTGTATTTTCTTTGTTTTTGCAATAGAAAATAACTGTACATTTTATATTACAATTGAAAATTTATATTAATATGTTGACTGCCACATGCCCGCCAGTGACCCAAGTTAACATCAACATTTAATGCAAATAATTCTTCAAGGTTTGGAGATAATAGTAATTAGGTTGAACTATGGCGTAAACAAGAAGAATTTGAACATTAAAAAAAAAAAAAACAATAAAATTCTTCAATAGGATTTAAAAAAATACCAATTTTATTAAAATTGAACAACTAGCTATTTTTATAATTGTAAAAATAGTATAGCTTGATACGCAAGAAGACTTGAATCACTAGCGGGCATGTGGCAGTAAACCTGTTAAAGACATCATCTCACTTATAACTTGTAGAGTGTTTGTTTAACTAAATGTATTTTATATAATTATATTACACAATTAATGATTACTTATCAAGTTTTAAAAGCTAATGGAAGCACAAATAATTATCATATTTTAATTAAGTTAAAACAAGTTAATATAATGTTTTTGGAACAAATGAAAATAACTCAATAGGAAATATTGACAATATAAGGTTAATAAAAATCATCCTCAACATAGAACACTATTTATATTGAAAATTGCGTATAAATACACAAATATACCAAAGAAGATATTAGTTATAAAAAATAATATGAACAAGCTGAATAAAACCTTGTTAAAAAAATATGAGGGTAGAGTACTTCTAAAAGTTTTTATACCTCTGTTATAAATTACTTAACAATTAAATAAAAAAAAAAAAAAAAAAAATTCAACAAAAAGTTAAAATCAAAATATTTTAGTATTTTTTTAGTTATAGAACTTATACTAGGTACTATAATATAAGATTAAAAAAATAAATAAATAAAAAAAAAAAGTGTTGAAAAATATGTATAAGAAACTATAGGAACCAATAAACAATTAGTTAATAAGGATTAAAAATGTAAACAATTTAATTCTTTTTTCCCTTAATTTTAAGTCGTTGCATGAAGGAAACTGGGTGACCATTATTTCCCTCAAAATTTTTATCTTCTTAGTGACCATTGTATTACATACACAGCAAAAATGAATTAATCTTTAGTATTAATTTAATTGATTCTGACTTGATTTATTTGAGATTAATACAATATTAATCTTTAATTGATGTTTCAATTGATATTTGGTATCCAAAAGTAGCCAACATTTCTTGTATTTTGTCATTAAACTCACAGCCATTTTCAAGAGCATAAATTAAACAATCTGTGTGTCCTCCCATTCCAGCATAGAAGGTTGTATCTTCATGCCATGGACAACCATTTTCATGGGCATATATCATGCAACTTAAACGTCCTTTTATTGCTGCGAAACAATTTACTAAGTCATTCCACGGACATCCATGTTCATGGGAGTATATTAAGCATTCAAGATGACCGTTCAATGCAACCCAGTAGCTTACATGTTCATTCCAGGGGCACCCATTTTCATGAAGATATCTTAAACAGTCTATATGGCCGTTTTCTGCAGTATATGAACATGTGGATTCATTCCATGCCACCTTCATGGAATGCAAGTATTTTATACAGTTCAAGTGACCACTTTTTGCAGAACTGTTCATAACATCTCTAGTAACTGGGCATCCATTTTCAACCGCATATTTTAAACAAGGCAATTGGTTATTCCCTGCAGCACGTATGCATGTTTCTATATTCCATGCACATCCATTTTCTTTTAAATATTTCAAACAATCAAGGTGTCCCTGGCATGCAGCTGATGAACATGTTGACTCATTCCATGAATATCCTATTTGATGAGCAAACATTAAACAATCGTAATGGCCATTGAATGCAGCTGTTGTACACAATTCAGTATTTGACAAATCTACACTGTTTTCTATTTTGGCTTTTCTTAATTCTAAACAACAATTTTTCACATCAACTTTAACAATGTTCCTAGGGATAGTATCATACCATTTTTGTTCATCATCATTACAAGCCATATAGGCCAGTTTGATAAGATCAAACATGATAAATTTTGTTTATTTAAAGGTTAAGCGTAGCCAGTTTTCTCTTTTCAAAATACTCCCGAGTTTTTAATCTTACCTAAAATAAAAGCAACAAATGAATATTGAAAAACATGTAGAAGTTTTAAACTATGAATTATTTAAGTTTACCTAAATGTCACGGATCCAATTTACTTAATGAAGTCAATTGTTTACAATAAATGTATAATCTGTAAACCAATACAAAATACATATTAATAAAAACACAATGACAATTATTTTCATAAAAACTCAAGACTATGATTTAAGTTTACCTCAATGTCATGGATACAATTTACTTGATGAAATCAATTGCTTACAATAAATATATAATCTGTAATCAAATAAAAAATACATATTAATAAAACATAATGATAATTAATTTTATAAACACTCAAGATAAAGATATGACAAGTATATAAAGACATGTGGTTAACAGTTTAAAATTTTTTTTCTATCTTAATAATTTATAAAATTATAAATGTAACATAATATTTGATTTATTATTTACATTGAATTATGATTGAACTTAAATTTATGTTATTAGCATTGTTGATTATCAAGCAATGAGTATTTTTTATAAGCTACTCAATTTCAATGGCTAATGTAAACTAAAAATCATAATTTTCAATTATTGTTATTTTATATAATCAAATTTGAAAATCTGTAATAAATTCAAATAATTAACACATAGGTATTCATTCTAAGTAGAACAAAAAACTTTTGTTATAATTATTTGCCTGTACAATTATATTATTAAGATATTTTTTCCTGAAAGTATTTTTCATTGCTATTAAATCTATTATAAGAAAAACTGCGAATTTGTAAAAAAATGCATTACTTTTAGCTTATTGTAAAATGTGGTTTCTTTAACATAATAAAGTACTAATAAATTCAATCTTGAAACTTAAAATTTTTGAAATTTTTGATTTATTAAATCTTTTATTTTTCAGTTTTTATTAATTTTTTAAAAATAATTTTAATAGTTTTCATCAATTACAATTTTTTATCCATAATTTATAAATTATTTTTTCATTTTCTTATTTTCGTTTTATAAATATTTTATACGAGTACATTCTAGCCTTGAGGATATTTAATATTTATAGTTAGTAAATATCTTTATTTAAATATATTAGAATATATATATAATGATATATAAAAATATATCTGTTGGAGGCATCTGAATATATTATTTTTAAAGTATTAACAATATAAAGTATTTATAAAACATATGTTATTTACAGATTTTTATAATAAAGTAGATATAATAAATATGTATATTTAGCCGTTAACATTAAGTATATCTCCTGTATATATTTGGTTCCTTATTGAAAAAACTTAACTATCAAAATTAATTTAAAATTGTAATATAAATTCAATTTAGGTTTTAAATTTAATTTACACTTTCCATACAAATAAAAATAATTCTATTTAGTAGAAACTAAATATGACATTGGTATAAACAAGTAATTTAAGTATAAAATATTAGATTTTATTACTCATCTTATAAAACATAGATGACATAATACGATATTGTAGGTTGTGATAATTTAAATTTAAAAAATTTTATTATTATATGATTGTGTGGATTTATGGTAAAGTATTTCTAAAAAAAAAGTATTAATATAGATTGTGAATATAGTTTTAAATAAAAAAAATAATATAAAATGATGCAATAATTTTTAAGTTAATTTGGATAACATCCTTCAGATAAGTTTGTATTCAAATCAATGAGACTAAACTGTATTTTATTTTTGAAGCAACTAATTAGCATTTCAAAACTAATATTTAATACTATTGTAATTAACTTTAAAATTAAAATATCAATAAAAACCTGTGAATTGTCCTAGGTAATATTAATTTCTTTAAATTATAAAAGCTAACAACACAAAATATGTTCAACTGAACAACAAATTTACAATGCTTTACTTTTTTAAGATGAATAACACATATGGGTGTAAGGTGCTTTTAATACAATGGTTATACTAAATGTGCGCTTTCTATTTATAATATTTATGTTAAACGTTGTTTAATACATATTCATTACAATTAAGGCGTGATAATAAATATAGTCATAATGTTAAAGTCTTTTAGACATTAGCAATAAGATAAATTTTGTGTTAGGTATAACTAAAAAATACAGAAGTTAACCTTGCCGTAATGTCGATGTCATTAATTTAAGTAATTTTATTACAAATGAAAATAAATACTAGTTATTAAATTTGGATTGTTTGTCATAATATTTACCTCTTATAGTCTTATGCAATTACTAAACGTTTATCCAACGAAATGTGTGAAGTGTACATAAACTACAAACATAATCCAACTATTGATATGTAAGCGTTTCGATACGATTATAATATAATACTAAAAATCGTTTGTACAGCTGTGTACGAGTCTACGCAGATAGGTGAAAAATTGTAAAATAGTAATAACTAATGACTGATGAGCGAATTGCGTATCACGTCATTCGGACTTGTCACAATGATCTTGTCGCTATTATTGCTAACCTATTCTTTTCGTATTTTATCGTTTTATCAGACTCCTCCGTCAGTTATTATCATGGACTCGGGAGATAAATATTATCATCTATCTTCTAAAGTCGCGGTTATTACTTATTATCATATTCGTTTGACGGTTTGTTGCGTTCACCAGCTGTAGACGATAACGCGAAATAATACTGTTTTATGGGTCTGGTACGAAACGTACAAATCAAATTCAAAATATTGACAAGTTAAAATGCCGACGGTTGAAACATCAACAAATACAAAATTTCGACAAATTACAATGCCGACAGGTACAAAATTTCAAAGAAAAAAAAATTAAATTTTATAATTTAACGTTGAGATAAAATGAACGGTATTCTTTTATATTTAGTAATATACAAAGATAAGGATAAAATAAATAGTAGGTATTTCTTATGCGACTGTGTGGTCAAATCAAATCATTTCAAAAACGCGCGTGTACGATTATTTATGAACCTCGCAGAGCCTGCTGTGTCAACTAATCAATAAGCTACATTTTTATAAAGTAATTATTTTTATAATAATATATAAGTATTGGTTTATTAAATAATTATTTTAAAATATATAATTTTATTTTGAGTATTTCATGAATTACAAAAATATGTCAACATTTACAAAACATCGACTTGAAACACTTGCTGTTTAATTTTAGTTACTGTAAATAATTAAATCAAATTAAAAAAATAATATTTCATTAGACATAGATTACGAGAGGACAGAATTTAAAACGTCATACAAAATTACGGAAACGTTTCAGTTATAGAGTTTTTAAGAGGAATTGCTTACAATATGGCATTATAATTTTTATACATGTTTCATACATTTTATTTTTATTTATAATTTATACCCAATAATATTTATTTAATTTATATAATTCGTATTTCGTATTTTATAAATTATTTAATTTTTATAATTCATATCCTATATTTTATTTTATTTATATATCATATAATTATTTTATTTATTTAAATAAATTAAAATAATAATAATTTAATTTAATTTAATTTGTCGATGTATTGACCTGTCAACATTTTGTACTTGTCGACATTTTAACTTGTCGATTTTTTGATTGTCGACGTTTCAACTGGCTCCCCTATTACATGTATGCATTTATCACCGTTGACGGCGTCGTTGGTAACAGCGCGACGCATGGTTCAAATGTGTATACAGCCAGGAAAACAACGATTCGAACCGAAATACTAATTGTGTACTTATTCGCATTGACTCATAATAGAGATAGATAAACTATACTGGAGTCTGGAGCCGACTGGAGTGCGTAATTCGTATAACATTCTGTTATGAAAAACGAGCCGACGCGTTCGAACGTTTCCTCTGCCACTGCAGGGCAACTATAACGTTATTAACCAATAATCATATCTACCTATTGTATAACAATACGGCATTATTTTCAATTTTGTTTAAAAATTATGGAATCCGGAACAAATAAAAACAATTTATTAATTTAATATGAAATACCTATATTTTTTTAATAAATGAATTAAAATTATAATTTTAATGAATTAGGCAATAATGAACATGTCTTTTGTTTTTTAATCAGAATGTGATGTATGCCAAAAATCTCATAGTGGGAAATGTTGGTGGAGGGGAGAGAAAGAGGTAATTATTGAATTCAATATAACAGTTTCTTGATTAGGTGCATAGTACATAATGTGTTTGTCTATTTTTGGTATTACAATATGAAAATGACTATTTGAATATTTTAATTTTTTAATTTTAGAAAACTAAAAAATGTAAAGACCTTAGAAGTATTATCAACCAACGTAGAAAAACCACTGTAAGTTTTTTTTATTATTTAAATATCACTATGCACATATAGAGAATTTGAAAATAATATTTATACTAAGTTACTGATAATTATAATCAGACCATGTCTTCATTTAATTTATTTATCAGTGGAATATCTAAGAGAGATACTGAAACTTCTAAAATTACTATTTAGTTAATTACATAATATTTGATACTGCAATTATTGATATTTCAATTTAATTAAAATAGCTAAACTTGTCCACTTTTGGTTTTCATAACCAAACAATATTACAAAACATTTACAATGTCATGCAATCAAATATTAAATGTAACAGCTACCCTCCCTACCAAAAAAAAAAAAAAATCCTGAATATCACTGATGTTTATAAAAAAAAAATTATATAAATGAACGATTTGATAGTCAGAATATACCGAGGAATATACATAATGATAAATAGTCAAATCAGGCATTTTACTAAATGTTTAGGCAAACAGACAAAGAAGTTAATTTTTATGCAATTTCACTATCTGTATAGACATTTGAATGATTTAAAGTCAGGCAAATAATAAAAATATTTAAAATTTAACGATATTTTCTATTGATTATTATTTATTACTAGTTTTCTCCGTTCAGAATCTAAAACTAAATAATTTGGAATAATTTGTAAGCTCAATGAGCAGTTTATCTAAACATTATTAAATATAATTAATTTTGTTAATTTATTTTTAAAAACTTGTTTAGAATTTATTTCTTTTGCATAGTGGCACATTCTTATATTTACAAAACCTTGACTAAGTGCAGTACTCATGACTTGGGGAACCAATATCGACATAAATGGGATGTGAATTGGGGGAAAAAATAGAGTACTTTTATTTAATATATTGGTTTTTGCTAACATCACAATGCTTTGTTTTACATTGTTATGTAATTTTTTATTTATAACAACAACAGTTTGAAAAATGTTTTCAAGCTTTGAATAATATTTAATACAGCTAATGAAACGATTTTTAATTTCCCTCAATTTACAAAGGATGTAAAATTTGTACCTTTTACATAGTTATGATCTGTTTGATCATCTTTCAATAATAGATCAATACAATAAGGACACACAACTTTTATGCATATACTTTTGACAATATATCCAGCTATATAATCAAGTATTTCATTAGTATATCCTCTTAATTCTATACTTGAAAGAACATCTAAATAATTATCGATTTCTGTTTCATCTATCTAAGTTATTATCAGATTTTATAATGCATCTTTTCTCAGAATGGAAATCTAAGGCATCACCATCAGGAGTAACAAAATTTGAACAATTTCCACTTTCTACAACAATATTTTCGGTAAATAACAATTGTCTTAGTGTTTTTTTAAACTGAATACAATTAGGATTATTATTAGAACCTTCTCTTGAACGAATACAACCAAAAAATAATTCAAGATGATCTTGAGACATTTTGTAAGTTAGAATATATTGTGATAACCTTCACGTTAGTGGTAATAAAAACAATAGTAGTAACCCAGAAGGAAGATTTTAAGAGAAAAATTCAATCCAGATATACTCTAAGTATTAATATACGTATTAGTATATTTATTGATGTTTTATAGATAAAACTATATAAATAATATTATTTTTTTATATAATCTGCTAGAGTATGATTATCAATTTTTTATTTTTTATAACAAAATACTATTTTTCTGAATATTAAAACAATAATAATTACTAATAAAGATGATACTATATTTATAAAATATGCTTTAGACTAAAAACTTATTCTTATAAATAAAATAAAGTATACAGGTACAAAATATATGTAACTTGAACCTTTCGATTGACAATACCGAGAAACGGCTGTACACCACGTTCCAAAACTGGTCATCGGTCAATATATAGGTGTTATACTTAACACAATAATCCCTTCGGATAAATTCCTACAGGTAACAGTGGTGGAACATACAATGAACAGTGATGGTTATAGCAGTAGGCGGTCGACTATGACAGTAACGGCAACGTCCCGTTGACCTTACTCGCATTATTTTGGTTTAGGCCAATCTGCAGACGAGATTTTTTAGAACTGTGATACGCTTGTTGAGCAGTGGGGTAGTGCTGACTACCAAGTATAGAGTACATGGTATATCTGCACCCAGAAAAACATTCCTTTTCGACTGCTACGCCATTATTGTCGCAGCCGCTGTTCGTATCGCACGGTAATTGAATATTGTCATTCGGCAGTACTAAGCGAGTTTCAACCAAGGACAGGTTACCTCTGCCGCCATCGTTATTAATTTTGTTCGATAAGTAAGTAACAACGACGATATTATTATTACTACCGCGATAAATATACTGTCGTATAACACAGGTACCTAACATTATTGTTGTTTTTTTCATATCGGATCTTATATATTTACAGTTACTGCCATAATGGATTGGTCAACGGGATTGATGTTGAGGAAACCGTGCGGCGAACTTGAGTGCTCCCAATACCAATTCTGCCAGCACCATGATCTCCAATGCTACCCATGTGAAACTTACTGTGAAAAGACATTACACAACTTCGACATCAATATATGCGAACAACAATGCCAAGGTAATTAATATTATAATCACCATAATTCTGTATAAGCCCAGAAATATGTTCATATACCTACGCGTTTTTGTTTTCACGATTTTGAAATTAAACGCGTATATCACAGTAGCTACCTATACTACTTTTTTCTAACAATTTTCGACCACAACTGATGCTTTTAGCTGTATAGATTCCTGATCACTCGAGTATATGCTTCAAACATTGTAACTAATTAGACGTAAGCTATGTATAAAGTGTATAATAATTAACTACACATTTATTTAATTAAACTAATTAAAGTCCTTTAATCTAAGATATTTAGATATTTTTAATTGATATAAATTCGGTAATTATACTAATAACAATAATAATAATTATGTCTAGCCACATCTGTTCACATTTTATAATATTATAAAATTATACCTACCTACCTTATACATAGCCACGATATAGTGCTATTAGTTTATTACTTACTATAATAATAATTTTATTGTTAAATGCAGCTGTAATTTATCTGAGATCAACCGTTTCTTCCTTTTTTTGTGGAAAAAATAATTTATTGATTTGTGATGATTAAACAGTAATCCGTGTGCACTAAGAACCGTTTTACATTACACAAACTTTTTACCCTAGAATACCATCTATTCACCGTTCTTAATTACCTACGTAATTACAGATATAAGAATTAACTATACCTACATAACTTATACCGTGATTCAAAAATTATTAATTACAATATAATGTGACAGGTGTGTCGCCGAATAAGTCAAAATGTGTCACAAAGTATATTAAATAACACAAAATAGTCAAACATTTCTGATACGAATACAAAAACTAATAGGTATTTGATAAAATTTCTATGATGATTAAAATTAAGTAATCTGTCATCGACATATTTTATGGATCTTTTATTACCATATAATATTATAGTATTTTATATTCTTATTTATTTATTCTGGGTCACAAGTATAAATTATTTTAATAGTGTGTTGCCATAACACAAAGGTTGAGAAACATCACATTATGTAGTTCTGCAGCTATCGACCATCATTATGTTTTTCTGCCCTCCGCGGGAGGCCCAATAGTCGGATTCATGTCCTTTAGATTTCAATGACTTTTTTTACCGGCAGGAATCTTTCCAAGTCAGTAAATCATTGTGATCACCGTGAACTCGAATTACTATACCTTATACCTGTAACAATAATACAACCTTAGACATCGTTATAAATGTAAATGTTTTTTTCTTTTCCTCCATAAGATTTGTTCAACGCAGCTTCAAATATCTATTGTACTACATAAGTCTTAAATCGATCGACCCTTTACTTGTTACACTATATTCTTTGGAAAATGTACGACGACAATGCGTCCCCCGATTCGCACAGGTAGATATATCACAATATATGGTCTGTGGGTGGCGAGCGCTGTTAGCGATGATTCGGTTGTATACAGCCTGAACGTATTTTTTCAACACGCGCTACAAACAACGTTCTACTCTGCGTTTATACATATTACATACATACATACCTAATATAATATTATAACGTTCCGTATACACGGTGGCGAGCTGCGACTGTTAACCGATCTTTTCGTGATCTTTTCGGTAACTGTAGCCAATGACAGCGGACCTGCTAGCGCGATTTTTTCCAAAATAGAGAATAGTCAATACAGTGGCGCCTATATCAACCTGTTGTATCTTCAACATATTATTAAATCAAGGTGGAATGAAATTTTATCATACACTACAATACTGCAAAATTTTTATTACTAAATTATGTTATAATATATAGTAGGGGTGGCCAACATGAATATGTTAGTGAACATTTGAATAAATATAACGGTACCAAGAGCCAAAATATTTATAAATACAATTTATACAATTTGATAAATCTTTATAAATTTAAACCAAAAATATTTAAATTTATTGTAATAATAAGTGTAAATTTTAATTTTATAAATAAGACACGAGCCGCGAACTGGCCACCCTTGATATATAATAATGTGGTAAATATAGGTTGGTGGTCTTTCTTTTGTTATTTTTTTCGTATTGTCCTGTATACGTTTTCACAAGAAAACCTAAAAGGAATTTTGTGCGTCAGTATTGTAATTTGTTGCTTCTGAGTATATGTATATAGGTAGATAATAAATAATAATTTATCATTTATAGTACCTATTCACGACTGTATATAATCGGCAAATACCCTCTTAAACATTATACACAGCATCTGAGAGACACCCGTTTAGATTACAAATACGTATTATATTATTTCAATATATAAAAACATTTTTATATATCAAGCATTCAACTACAATTGTTGTTAAATTAGATCATACTAAAAATGTCATAGACGTATATATAATTTTTCAGGTACATAATTTAGTGCATTTTTTGGTAACAAGTTAAAAAAATATTTAAATTTGATTTATTAATCAATTGGCATTAATTTATCGTATTAAATTTTTTCCGCAGATTACATCCATGATTACATTTTTCATTATGTAAAAGATAGCGAAATCAAAAGTGAGTAATTGTCTATAGTTATAAATTTAAAAAACCTTTACGTAGTTTATAGTTTTATACAATTTTTGATAACAAATAAAATTTGATTTCGGCTTCACTTCAAGGTATGGAAATCCTGAAATCGATGATAATTTATACGATGCTGGTGATGATTATTCTGATCGTAACAACGTGTTTCTCGTGGGCGCTTTTGTGGAGCTACAAGAAGAAGATACGGAGCATTGAAAACGGGGACATAGATCCGTACTCAAAAAAAAAAACGTATTCAATAAAGGTAAAAATACAATATACCTATATTAAGAATTATTTTTAGTTATAATATGCACTGTCTCAAACAACAGTAATTTTAGCGACGGTAAGAGTGCCGCGCTCTTAAGTGCAACACTTTATTATTCTTACAATTGTCTAGTTTTCATTTTAGGAAAGTAATTTCTCGATCACGGCTAATCATCGAAAATGAAAGCTTAGGTACGATGAAAATAAACTTTGAGTAGTATCGCGAAATTTATATGTCAACATTATGTACCTACTTTATTGTGTTTTTAAAATTCTTATAATCTGTTGTACTGCAAATAGGTAGTCTTCGTTTTTCTTCAAAAAGATCTAACTTTCCCTGATAATGATAATAGGTTGTCACAAAATGTGTATTACAATACATAATATATATCATATAAGTAATATCGCAACGAATACGGTAGAAATATTGTCCTTAGTTTCAATTATTGAATATATTATGTGCTATTACAAAAACATTATTTTACACTTAAATAATGATAATATTATATTGATGCTCTAATATTAGGAATGTTCGAGATTATTTTTTAATTATATTTGATATAAATATTCTTGAAATTTATACTCAACTCAATACTCTTTTATAGCATTAAAATTTATTAAACAAACAAAATAGTAAAACTAAAATAAAATATTTCCATGCGGTTCTAATAACATTTATAAAAATTAAGAAAAATAAATTCAAATTATTATTTGTTTTTTAAAAATATATTCACTTTCAACTTTTCAAATAAATTATTATATGGAGTCAATATAGTAGTATTGACTACACTATTTCTGTATATTGTTTATCCTATTTTATTTTATAATATATATTACACATATTATATAATAGTATGATTTAATGATAAATAATAAATATTATAAAAATAGACACTGGGAGGTGATTATTATACTGGTCATCTACCATAAATACGCTGCTGATATTTACTCTTAAGATAGACTATTTCTAGGTAGGTATTTTAAATAATTTATTAAAAATAGCTCCATTATTTTATTTATTAGAACATCACTTATGAGTTACAATGCAAAATATATTATAATAATGCAATATTGAATACTATGATATTAATAGCTTAATGTCTTAAAAATTAAGTAAGATTAGGTTAAGTATAAAGCTAATAATAGATTTATTTTATGAAGTGAAAAATTTAGCCGAAAAAATTGCCAATATTTTAAATATAGGTGTTTATATTTTTGTCATATCGTTATAATATATTCAAAGCTTTAAAAGTTGTTTAAAAATAATATTCGAAGTTTATAGAATTAAATTTAAAATTTCATATTTTTTTCGTGCCTTAATTAATTACTTTTCGACATATATAGTGCATTTACGAATATATTTAAAAGTATAGTTTATTCTAAAAATCGGGTATGTTTTTCTTTTGCCCAGTTCAAAGACAACGAGGTCAGTATAATAAGCGAAACAACGGACACGCCTTTGACTGACACAACGATAGCAGCTCAGACAACGACAAGCTCATCGTTCAATCACCAGACTTGCCACACACCTGCATCGTTACCGAACAAGCTGCCCTGCGAAGATTTCACGCTTGAAACCAAGGATTTTACTGGTTACGACAACTTGGGAATGTGGAAAGTGTCCCCCGTGTTAACTACCAAAATTTAACTGGCGGTACTTATTAAACATTTTATGAATATTTTAGATAGTTACCACTCATCTATATGGCTATATAGTAGTATGATAAATTAAGTATAGTTATTTTTTTTTAATAGTAATAATTATTTATTATTATTATAAAATAATAAAATACTTACTTAATCATATATTTTGTATTATATTACAAATATTATTAATACTCACACTTTATCTACAATAATAAACAAACTAATATCAGAAAAAAAGAAGAAAAACAAAAAAAAAACATTAGGTCTAATAATATATGACATAATATGTACATCAATTAACATTAGCTTTAGTATTAGTTCTTAAGTATTTTTTCACTTTAAAGTAAAATAATTAAACAATATAAACCCTAAATAATCAATGAATTTTCAGTCTGTACTTTTTTGAGTAATTAATTTTTTTATAATATACTATGATTTTATGCATATTAAATATATTTTTTATATCTCATAATTATGTTATACCCAATTTCCCTGAAGTTGAGAATCTAGTTAGAAAGAGCCATACTCAGAACCAATTAACATTACTGCATGATACAGATATTAACCATGATGATGGTTCTATCATAACTATTTTATATACAAAATAATATGTAAATATTCATTTTTGAAGAATTTTGTCATAATTTGAACTTCAAATGCTTTTAAAAATAAAATCTTGGCTATAATTAAAAAATATTTTCAAGTTACTAAAAATTAACTTATTTTAAATCCTATATTAAATTTTTTAAGCAGTCCTACACTACACCATTATATATATATTATATTATATCAAACTTAGGTCCTAAATGTATAAAATTATTACAGAACTCAAAAAATTATTTCATATTTAAATATATTAATAATATCGGAATTGCTATGATAATTTAATATACTTGGGGAGTAGTTGGAAATAAATTGGAGGTAAAATTGGAAAATCTTAAAAAAAAACTTGTTAATTTACGTCATTCTCTTAAAAAGTTTAAAAATAAATATCCTTGGTGTCCTACCACATTTCAAAAAATGAAAATTCTTACACACAAATACTTAGCATGTATTAAACATTAACATAATTAAAATATTTTTAAAAAAATGTTACAACTACACCATACACACACCTTAATGGCTTAACACATTTGACATTAATATTATGTTTTTTAATCGTTAATTGTCATTAACAATTAATATTAATGATATTAATAATTACGTAGTTATGTGATCATGAGTTATGAGTTTATGACAAATATTTAAGCAACGTAACTTGTTAACATGAATATACATAAATATGCTATTAAAATTAGAAGTTAACATTTATTTGTAGTATAATTTGTTAAACATTATAAAAATTTGAAAAAAAAAATATACAAAATTCAACACATTTAATATTTATTTAACATTAATTGCACTTTATTAATTCTAGTTATCAATGGCAGATAAAGATCAATCACCGTCTTCGGAAAATGATCAACGCATTAGGCTCCGAGAATTCATTGATGCAGAAGCGGATGAATAGATAGGTATGTTACCGAATGGGAAAAACAGAAAGTCGATACTAAGAGATGAAATTACAACAAAAGGAAATACTTTGACACCACAAAATAAAACCAACAAATAAAAATTAGTGATTCCTTTTAACTACTCATCAATTTGTATCATATAAGATTAAAATAATAATGTACATATTAATTATTTTTATATTTTAGTGAAAAAATGTTTATTTTTATTATATGTTTTTAACAATTGTAATATATTATGTTGTTTGATATTTCAGCACATATTTTGAATCTGATTAGGTATATATTAGACGTTTTATAGGTCACATAACTAAGAACGTTTTATAATTGTTTATATCATAATAATATATTAAAGTTGTTTGTGCATTCAAGTTTACCCTTTAGTTTTGACCACGGCTTAATATTATTTTTTCATATATGTTTACAAATATATTTTTATCACGTAAGGTAACTTCTTTGGACGACTTTATCTAAAGTTCTTGGTTGATTTTTTTTTAAATATTAGAAATTTTAAAAAAGTTATTTTCATTAAACATACACCAGTCAAGTCACATCACCGATTTATTTTGACACCATGAGAATGGCGATCAACGTACTAGTCCACCACTGTCTTACTGTCTTAAATTCTTATTTCTTAGTTTAGCTATGTCTTTCTATTTCTATAAACGTAATTTAGTACAAATATACAACGTACTTGAAGTAAAGTCCATTAAATAGTTATTAAATATTTACAGCTTATGCAGTTCGATTATAGCAGTGTTATACTGTTAAAATTTATACGAGTAATAAATTAAGAAATATTATGACTCCAGTTTCGTCTTAACTGTAAAAAAATATATAAAATACTTGTAATAAAAATGTAAAGACGGTTGAACTATCGTTTGAACTGTTTGAAGCGAGTAATTTTTACACATGTAAGATGGGCAATACGGCAAGCCCAGCCTAATGATTACACGCGGCTCTTTTCAATCCTTCATTTTTTTATCCTTGAATAATGGAGTTGATAAATGTGAAACCAGCTATACCATTTTGTGCTGTTTGCTCTATTAAGATAAATAGTTGATTATTGACTATATATATCATAGCATCAATTAGAATTAACAAAAAGTATCCGTTATTCAATTGACATTTTAGGTAATCGATTTGATAGACAAAATGATTAATATTTAATCATTAAATATTTTAACCATAATATTATCAACATCCAAAATTAGCAACTCTCGTTTCAATCATATTATTTACTTGTTGTTCAGCACGCACATTTAAAATTGTTATAATATGTATTATTTATGTAATTTTTTTTTTATGTACCTAAATAATATATCGAAATTAAGAAGTTTCCATATACTTTACTACATTATATAGACACGTCTTCGGATTGAGACGTTTTATTCATAGCAATTGTAATATTTTATATTGTAAACTATTAATTTATTGTACAAATAACTTTTTTTAAATTATATTTCTTTTTAAGAAGACACCTCTGCAGTAAAATCAGCTTTAAAATATGTATTCATTCGGAAGTATTGGAAAATAGCACTCGGGCCTTATTAATCCTACAAATATGATTATTAGAACGTTTAGATATCAAAATAAACAATAGTTGCACTAAATCTTGTAAATATATTTTATCATAAAAATCCATGGTTTGAAATCAAAATTTTTTTTTCTTATTTTGATTTCAGTTTTAATATATTTTTTTTGATTTTTAACGGTTTTTACAAGTATTCAAAACCTTTATTCAATATCGGTTTCAACCCATAATTAATATAAAACAATAGTTTTACACATTTTACATTCAGTGTTAACTATTATTAAAACCATTACAGACTACAGTCATATTATAGATTTCACTGATGTTCAAACAGATGTTAAAAGTATTCGATGTTAATAGTTAATATACTAAATAAAGAAAAATCAGGACATAACAAATTACTTCTATAATTTATAAAAGTTTGAAGGTAATCGTGGTTTTAATTGATTTTTATTAATTTACACTTTAAATGAACTCTGATTTTGCAATATACATTTCAATATTTGCATGCTCTATTAAAATAAAAAATCAACATTTAATTTTAAATTACTTATTTTAAATTTTATTAAAATATGATAAAATATAATAAGTTCAAAATAATTGTTCAACATGACTAAATAGTTAATTAGTTAATTAGAATATAATATCAAACTGTCTTGGATAATTGTATACTCGGTAATTGTTATTTAATTGACATTTTAGTTGATTTGCAACACTAAATCACTAAACGCTAATCATATTAATACAGTCAACTCACGATATAACGAATTTCAAGCAACCGAGAAAAAAATTCGTTATATCGAAAGTTCGTTACATCGAAATTCGTTATATCAAGAGAATAATATACCAATTGAATTCGTTATAACGAGATTTAAAACAAAAATTCAAAATTTTATTATTCGTATACATATGTATAAAATACATATATGAGTCATATAAGTTTGTATTTATTGTTTAATTTCAATATAAATGTATGTAATAATATTTCTAATAAAAATATGCTATAATAATAATATTGCTTTTAATATGTACATAATATAATAAATCTCTATACATGTGTGCATTTATTTAAAAATTTGTAGATTCATCATATTATATTTAATAATAAATTAGAATTAACAACGTTAATGGTAAATTTTGTTTTAGTTGTAATACTTTCATTTCGATAATAATGTCACAATACGTGAGTGTCATAGTGCAGTAAATATAATTTTGGTTTTATACAATTTTTAATTTTAATTTATTATTTATTGTGATTTTTTATTTAGATAGGTCCATCTATCTAAAGTCTATAATACCACAGTGAACCAGGAAATGCGTTGTCAGAGTTTAATTTTACCATTTATACAATAATTATAAAATTTGATGTGTGCACTTTATTTAACCTACCTACTAACATTTTTACCAGGACTCAATTTACTTATACTTTTATTCCGGGATCCAATTTACCAAACTCGGAATTTAAAACAAGTAAATTTCACCAATACCTTTATTTCCCATGGAAAAAATGTGAATTCCACCGGTACGTACTTTTATCTGAAAACAATTTTAACTCCGCCGATGGTAAAATCCACAGATTAAAACTATTTTTAATATAGCTACACATCAACTATCAACTGTCTTATCTAAACAAAATAACAATGATTGCAGATAAATATCATATAGATAACCATATCGCGTAATGAACGCGTTCGATAAAGTATTTTTAAAGTCATATTTTATTCGTCCGTTGATTTCAAAATTAATACATTAACCGAAATAATTAACGAACAAGGCATGTTTTGATTTGTTTAAATAATTTTAAGTTTTACAAATAAAATCTTAAAATCCGGTGAAGCAAAGTGGTGGTGTGAAAACAAAACCGCCTTTGAAAAACGATTAATTTTGAAAATAATCGAACAATAATTTTCCAACGAACACTACACAACTACGAAGTGTTATCTATATATACCTATGTATATATAGTTTTTTTAAATATTTTTTTCAACCAACAACTAACTAATCATCATTCTTGATTATTATATATTATATATATATAATGTATTGTATGTAAACTGGTGTTTATTAGTTATATTGTTATAACGTTTAAGAGTAGAAGAATAGTCTTCCTGTGATTTTTCAATAAAGATGTTATAGATATTATAGGCGATCGTCATACAAGCAGAAGCAGAAGAAATATAATAATGTTGAATTTATCTACAAGAATTGAGTCACCGTATAATTTAAACAAAAATTACGTATCATGGTTGAGAATGCAACAGAGTGGGTTTGTATAGACAATGTAGGGCCCTAAAATTGTATTTCGTTTAAAGATAGTATAAGAATTAAGATAGGTAATATAATATTATACAATATAATTTGAACCTATGTCCTATAGACAACTAATATAAATTGGTTAGGTATTTAAGTATAATTTAAAATAATCTAATACAAATATATAACATTCAATATTTCAGACCAAAATAGTCTGCTTTAAACGATAATCCTGTTGATTAGATAATATCGGCGATTGTTGATATATCTACGCTTATTTTATTATTATTTGAATTAGATTTCGTAACAGCATAACGAGAAACTATATAATCTAAAATTGGTGTTATAATATAATATAATCAATATTCTTATTAATATATATTGATTCCTTTTAATCACTCATCAGTTTATATTAAATAAAATTAAAATAATAATATGAATATAATACAAACATGGGCATAAACGAATTAAAAAGTTAAAGTTAAGTTAAGTGTTAAGTACATTAAAAAAAAAAATTCCATTTTGATATCTTTTACATGTTTAAAAATGTATAAAATTTGTTTTAATAAATTAAAAAATTATATTTTATTTTATTTATCTTTTAGTACCTACTACTTAATTCTTTCCACCTGTATTTTAATTTTCCAAATTTAGTTATTTTATATATAGAATCTATTTTTTGGGCTTAATAATGTTTATGAATTTTATAATTTCAAACTATTTTACTGGTTATTTTATATATTAAAAAAAAAATAATAATAATAACTTAAGTTAATAAGTTAGTTGAAAATTTCCACATAACTTATAACTTAATTGAGTTAAAAAAAATTAGATTAACTATTAACTTTTAACTTTTCAAAATGTATTCTATCAATTTAACTTAACTCAGTTGAAAATTATCATAAACTTGCCCAGGCTTGAATTATAATATATATATGTATATTATTTTTATATCTAGGAGAAAAAATGTTATGTTTATTATATGTTTTTAACAGTTGTTATATATTATGTTATTCGATATTTCAGCGCATATTTTGAATCTGTCTAGGTATATTTTATAACGTTATATGCCGATATAGCTCCTACGCACTATGGTGGTTGGCTATATGGACTTGCCGAGTATACGACGTAAGGCTACCTAAAATGATTACACTCGATTGATGGTGTAGATTAGTGTGTGTAAGCACAAATTAAATAATTTACGGGCGCTCTAAAATTCAATTTTAATTAATTGTCGTACACATGTCGGCTAAAATTTCCGAGTATATACAAATTGAATACAAAAAATAGATAGACAATTAAATGAGTAA